CAAAATGGAAGAAATAGCCACAGCAGCTTGTGAGAACAGCTTCTGGGAGTAATACTTTATTTCTTACATTCCACCTGATTTTTTTACTGGCTGCACTCATTTGGTCTAGGCACACAACATATTCTAGTTAGGTCCAGTAAGACCCAGGGTATAATTTCACTCACCTGGAGCTATTTCATTGGTTTGCACAAGAAAAAAAAAGAGCTGCAGGTGAGAAATAAGCTGTGAAGTCCTGTAGGACTAAGCAGAAGGGCTACAAGTCATTATGGCTATGTATGCTATCTAGCATCACAAGTAGTGGACCTCTGTATGCTAACTGCTGAGAGTAGGAAAGTGCTATCACACCCATGTCCCACTTGTTGGCTTCCACAGGCAGCTGTTTTGCCACTATGTAACCACAATCCGTGGGTTCAAACAACATGATAACCCACACTCAGGCATGGATTGTAGGTTGCACAAGGCTTGTCACTGAACTGTAGGTCATTTTTGAAGTGTGGTTGTGTTGTCTGAACCTAGCCATGCTCAAAAAAAAAGTTTGTGGCTACCTGAAACCCACAAGTTCTTTTCATGGTTTGTTTATAGTTAACAAACCATGGTTTGTTAGCATACCTGAGTTCAGACAACACAAACACATGTTGTTCAACAACAAGCCATGGTTCAACAAAAAACCACACTGAAGCTGGACTACATAGGCATTTGGTCTGATCTTGCAGAGTGGTTCTTACATTCCATGGTAGGAACGATTTGCAAAAATAAAAGTGAGGAGATGGCAGTGTTTCCCCAGAAAACATGGGAACAGTTCTGGTGATCTAATTCCTCCATGAAAGAACTCAAAAGTCTGAAAATAAATTACTCTTGCGCAATCATCCCTCCATCACTACGTGCAGGAAAACCACTGGTTGTGATTTTCTGGTTTGTGGAAGAGATGCCACAAGCTTGAATGAGTTTGTCACTCTGATTATGCTGCCCATACATATAGGTTGTCCACTTGAGCTAATATTAGAGCAAAGGACCTGGCTTTCGCTGCCTCTTTTATCAGGCAGCATGGTCATGCCAGATCTCATTTAACCAGTACAATGTTCCTGGTTTCCCTTTTAGCAGATGACTAACGGCAAATTGTATGCAACGGCTGCCATGTGGAAGCTGCCAGAACCTACATATTCAGTATGCAACAGAGATAAATCACTTTTACTTCATCATTTGTCCTATTTGATACTCTTGATTCACAAGACAGCAGAACAGGTGCAAATAGGTCCCAAGCTCTAGTATAAAATTTTGGAGGAGGGGAAAGCTGCAGGAAAATTAAGAAAGGCAAATCATTTGTTCCCTTCTCCTTCAAATCTTCTGTCAGCTTATCAGCAGTGGGAGCAGGAGCTGATGGCTGTGGCAATAGAGACCAGGTAAAGTTAGGTACACAGTACAATGCTCCATCCATTGATCTGCAACCAGGCAGCATTTCAATTGCAATATTTTCTGTAGGGAAATGTACACTGTTGTTTCCACACTGGAGAACATATTGTGATTCAGAACGGCATGTGGCTGAAGACTCCACTGCTCAAGGCAATGCTTTCCTTTCCTGTCCACTCCTCTATCTGGGGTCATTTGGCATTGCGGATGTCTTGACATGCTCGGCAACCCCTGCCTTGGCCCCTTCTGCCATAGAAATGACCCTGTTGATGCTCACAGAAGTAAGCACAGGACTTCAGAACTCTGCACATCCGCACAGTTGTGCTCTGAAGCCCTGAAGGATAATTGGATTGCAGAGTGGCCACCACAGCTCCGAAAGAAGAATGAGGGGAAATTATAGGCAGTAGCCAGGTGTGCAGGTTAAAATATCCTGGGAATATAGTGATTGAGAATTCCACGATGCTGTTAAGAATGCTAAAACAGAGAGCCAGTGTGGTGTGGTCAGGGGAAGCTGGTGACCCCTGGATAAGTGAGGTGAATTATCTATTGCAGCTTTTGTTTTGAGCCTTACATGAATTATCCATGGTCCTGAACCTGTTTTGGGGGTAGAGTTCAGCACCATGGAGAGCTCCTATCAAGTACTAAACAAAGGCTGCAATGGCTCAGGATCCCAACCATTGGACTGGAGCTTAGCAGATCCTAGTAGTGAGGATAAAATGTGGAGGGGAGAGTCACTGAAGCTGCCTTTGTTTCCTTGCAAGACAGAAAACAAGTGAGATATAAAAGGAATAATAAATTTAAAAAATACATGTCCACATAAATGTTCAGTGGATTCAACATGGATTGGATGGATTGGATCCAGATTTAAGATGGGTATGTGTATTATTAGGAAAAGACCCCCATTCCGTCCACCACAGAAGCCTCTGCAGCCCCCTGAAAAAGCCACCTGCAATGAGGAGATCCTGCTGAGTGGGGAGAGTTGTGGGGAGAGGGGGGTCCCACAAAATTTAGTGGCGAAGCGTTCCTTTCTCTCTCGGAGTGGTGAGGCTGGGGCTGGACCTTGGGGTTAAACCGGATGAGCAAATGGACATCCAAAGAGTAGCAGGTGGCGCCTGCATCAGGACAGCAGCAGCAAGTGCTGGTTTATGCTTCTCCTCATGGTAGTGCCATGAGCTCAGAATGCTAAACCGTACACTCCCCAGGTTGCTGTTGCTTTTAACCAGGACTGGCAAAAAATGTTGTGCTAACATATCTAGACTGCAGAAGCAATTGTAAAGCATGGCATGATGTTTGATAGTTGGAGAAATGTTAGCTGTGTGTCATGCGTTTTATAACTAAACAGCTCTTCTGTGTGTTTATGAAGTACATTTCCTAAATTTAATTAGCTCTTGCAAAAGGCAGAATCTGGATCCATCCTTAAGAATTTCAGTTAAGCTGCAGGATTTGCAGGGGGATGAGGACAATGTCTCAAGTTAACCCCTTCTTACGAATTGAACCTGAATTCCACCATTGCTAAAAATTGGTTTGCCTTTCCCACTTGCCAAATGTCCATCCAGGACATGAAGTTCTCTCACGCTTAGATTCTGATCGTATTTTTCATTCTCCCCATCGTTTCCTTGTTTTCTCCTCCCATCCCACATCCTCCCAAATAGTTGATCATGCTCTGTTGAGTCATCTCTGCCCCACAGCCCCTCTTTGCCCCGTGCTGTGACGTGCGTCTCCCAGCTCTGACGGATGTGCTCTCCTTAGCCCTCGCCCTGCTCCATTATAACAGGCTCTCTTTTAATCCAGCAAATGTTTATAGGGCCCAGGATGAGCATAAGCTCAACAGCAGTGGGAAGCAAGGAAGGAAGGACAGACGGAAGGAGCGTGCATCTTTCCCACACCTGTGGCTGCAGGTTAGAGAAGCCAGAATGGCGAGGCCCTAGGCCTTCTATTTTGCTGCTCCTGATTGCTGCCAGAGAAAGCATTTCTCCCTTGAGAGTGGAGCCCTAGATAATTTTCCCAGAGGAGATGGTTGACTGTCTCGCTGCTTGCCTTCACCGTTCCAGTCCCCAAAGAGCAGTTGGGAATGAAGTAAAATGGAAGGGAAAGTAGCTATTCCCAACGTGGGGGGCAGGAATTCAGCCTCCTAGCTGGTGTGGAGTGTGCAGTTTCTCTTCGGTGCTGCACAGGACCTTCCACGCATCTTGATGGGTCTGTGTGGTGCTTTTGTAGCACTGGAGCTCTTTGCAAAGGCGCCTGTCCCTTTAAAGAAAGGGAAATCTGCTTCGCACACTCTGCCTCTGTGGGTGAACACAAGGTGCTGGGATTGAGCAGCTTGATGCCAGATCAAGGGAAAGTAGAGACGAGCACAGTGGAAGAAAGGAGAAGAGGCAATCCGCTGAAAAAAGAGGTGAATTGGGGTAGGAGAGGGGAGAAGTGAAACAAAGGGGGAGGGCATGAAGGGGAGGGGAAACCTTTTGGCTAACAATGTGGGGACGAATGGTTCCTTTGGCATGGTGCAGGTAATAAAATGCAACCAACTTGTTCCTGAAGCTAGTCTGGGAGTTTAAGGATTGCCCGTGCAACTCCGATCTTACCTCCAGCGTCCTCTTTTGCTTCAACTTTAAAAACTGTCCATGGATTTCTAAGGGAATCCGTCACTATAGATGTGGGGTGGGTGAGAAGAGAAATGACTGCTCTTCGCTTGAATGCCAGCACTTCGAGGGGTTAATTGGATCCCAGTGTACTCTGATTTTTACAGAAATGTTAGTTCTTCTGTCACCCAGAAACAAGTCCTCTCATGTGCATTACCATTTGATTGGAAACGTACTCTCTGTTGCCTGTCAGAGTAATGTAGGCAACCTGTGAAGCTAAAAGTACGTTCCAAAGGGACTGGGAAAGCCAGGCTAAGAAGCATCAAATGCTCTTAATTGTTCTAGTCTTCTTCCATTTTTATTGAAAGAGGCTATTGAATGTGTGTTTCTCTTTGATGATGAGTTTCTTCTCTGTTCAAGACACAGCAAACTTGAATTAGTTCTTCAGAAGGGATAGAAACTATATTTTGATCAAATACAGACTATTCATGCAGGAACTGCAGGCATCACTTCTGCATTTCTGTTCTTCATTCTTCACAGGTCTTTAAAAATTAGTATCATTTGTTCAATTAAAGAGTTTGTTTCCTTTCAAAAAAATGAGGAGCAGCAGGGGAAGATGCTGAGATTGGTCCTGAAATGTTTGATTCTGAGACCAAATCTGACAGAGCAAGTTCTTGCAGTGCAATAGATATGAATATTCTTGTTTTGTTTATACTGAGTAAAGTCAGAAAATGGGCATCACAGTGACTTTTTGGAATGAAAAATTTGTTTGGAGGTTGTGTGACCTTTGTGAGCCAATATAAATTCTATGAGAGATGGAAAAGGTTATATCTGGAATAAAACACTCCTGTCTAGATAAACTGTAGCATTAAACAAAATGGAATGCTTAATGTTCAAATTTTATTTAGACTTAAGTGTCTCCCACTGTTGGCCAGTGAATGCATAATATGCTACTACCTTTTCTCTAGCTCATGTTCATGAAAGCGCAATCCAGAGAATTGTTGTGACTTCAAAATGGCTTTCCACGTGGAGGGACTGATAGCTATCATTGTGTTCTACTTGGCCATCCTGCTTGTTGGAATATGGGCTGCTTGGAAAACCAAAAGCAGTGGAAGTGATGGAGATCGCAAGGAGGCTATTATAGTTGGTGGAAGAGATATTGGTTTGCTGGTTGGTGGATTTACCATGACGGGTATGTTCCTCTTTTTTCAAGTGTGTCTATCATTTTTCATGTGAATATAAATCTATCAGTTTCAGAAGTACAACTTCACAGATCATACCAAATGCTACTTAAATTCCACTGAGAGCATGCCATATAAATGGTTGTGCCAGAAAGCCTTCAACAAGTTACTTCTGAGTATTGTCGTTGAGAACAGCATTCACATGTGTTTTGCTTTTGAAAGATACACCAACTGGGTTTACTGAATAATGCAACATGAACAAATTAATGTTGACATACAACCATGATTTCCTTAGTATATCCCCTTAATGTTTCAGATTGAAGTCATCTAACAAATGAACCTCATTTTCCATTTCTTGCAATGCCTTTCATAATACGCCAAGAAACATTTAATTTCCCATTCCTCTTCCATGATGTAAAACAGGTCAATAAAGAAAGGGCAATCATCAACCGCTCACCTACACTAGGGAATCGTAAGAATTTGTCAGTGGGGCATGTAAACTTTTCTTTTTCTGCCTTCTTTTTTTTTTTTTTTGCTTCGTTTAAAGCTTTTTAAATTAATCGCATGCCTTACGTACATGGAGGAATCAAGATCCTATCAGCAAGTGGTCTTTGCATCTACTTAAAACTGGACCAATTTCAGTATGGTTGCACAAGAAATTGACTAGCCATGGCACAATTTAACCAGATAATTCAGCGTGGTTTATCCACAAAGCAATTTAGGCCAGATGTTTGTAATTAAGCCAGTATGGCTGAGTAGGTCATACAGTGCAATCCTATACATGTTTTCGCAGTGTAACAGTGCTTCCTACTGTGTCAGCTTAGATGCAGAATTCTGCTTCCTTTTACTCCATATCAGGCTAATTTTACTCTGTGGTGACATCAGAGGGGGAAAGGGGGCTAAACGGTGAGTCATAATGCACAAAATGCTTAAACTTGGACTTCACTTCATGTATTACCAAACTGATCTTAAGATTCTGTGCAGAATGCCATTAACTACGAAATAAGTCCAAATCACTTACAGTAAAGGGCTTGTCTATAAAAGCATTCAAGAAAAAACCGTTTCAGGTACAAATCTGTTTGTTCTCTATCAGAGCTGCCTTCTCTCTCCTGGTAGCATTTTCAATTATGAAATTAAAATTATTTGCACATTTCTTGCCAACAATGGCAGAACTTCATTCTAATCTGTTCTCACTGATTTCAATGGAATTTTCATTCAGATATAGGCATGATTAGAGAAGACTTAGTTGCATGGAAAATTGCAATCCAGAGGATAATGTGATTCCTGTGATTTTAACATGCCAGGTTTTGAAACCGTTCATGCCAACAAAAGAAGGTGCTGTGGCTTTCTCAGACATGAAGAATCTATTCTAACATTTGAAGGACAAATTGCATTTCACTTTGTTGATGGAAAAATGGTCAGTCCTGAAATCATCAGAATTTTGCAGACAGTTTTGTTGGAAGTAGTACCAGCTGTTTTTTGTGATTATCTTATATTCATAATTATTTAGAAATTGGCAACTGTGCTGTTTGCCACTGATATCAAAAGGAAAAATAAGACTATTATTATTTCTTACGGAGAGATGAAAACACACACATACAATTTACAGAAAAATTGCATTTTAATTCACACTGCATGTATAACCATGTTTATGTGTGTAATCCAGCTTGTATGTGTGTTTGTGTGCATGTGTAATCCAGTGTGTGTGTGTGTGTGTGTGTGTGTATTTAAAATCTCCAGAATTCACTTACAATCTAAT